TTCCGTCATCCAATCATATTAGAATCTTTCCATCTTGAGCCATTTAAAGTTGCAATGTAGGCTAAAGGAAGTAGCAACAGGTCGATTCTTCTTTATTGTGATGTAGATCCAAGTGAAACAGAATACTGAAAAATGAAAAAAATGTAGATTGGGTACTTGGTTGAGTCCATTGATTGTTGATTGGATGGAGGCAGATCTGAATGCGAACTTGCAGTAGATTGAAAGAAAAAGTTTAAGACTAAATTATTTTTGTTTTTTGGCCAGGACTCCCTTGTAGGAGAGATTTATATCTCGATGGAATAATTCCTGGTAAAAAAAAATAATAATAAAAAATAAAGGATAAATAAAAATGATTGGAGAAGTCTGATATAGGCCTATGTCACCAGAGAAAAGTAGTTTCACCAGAAGATCAAGTTACGATATTTTAAGTAAAAAATTATGAGGTGAAAAAAGAAAGAAAATAAGGAAGAAAGGAAAAGAAACATGCATGGAACACAATGTCATGCAAGATCAATGCATGCATTCAGAAATAATTTAATGGCATGATTAGCCTAACTACAGCCATGGTAATCAATGTTATACAATTCAAAATACAATACATAGGCCTATACAATTTGTATATCAATGTTATACAAATCAAATACAATACAATTCTGGAGTCACATGAGGGTGACTAGATGATAGACTTTTCATTTTCGCGTGCACTGTCCGTTCTCGTGCGTTTTAAAACGTTCTTCGGTGTTAATGTTGATGTTCAGTGCTGATCTATGATGGTGTACAAAGTTATTTAAAAAAAATGTACGCAGCATTCCAAAATAAATAGGAATAGAAAGCGAACTACTAAAGCGGGAGGGAGGGAGAGAGAGTGCAGTGGGCGGAGTTGTGTCATTCACTAAGCGGGGGTGGACTGCAGAGCCGGAGGGAGGGAGCAAGGGGAGCAGCTTGAGACTCCAGAGATCTGTGACCAGCTGTGTGTGTGTGTGCGCGCCCTGCGCTGGATGAGGACAATTCACACAGGATAGCTCTGCGTACTATACTTGAAAACATTTGACCCTTTCTTGCTGGACTTGGGCTGCGTTCTAATGCCGCTACCGGACGATGAGAGAGGCCCTCACCATGAAATTCGCTTGGAAAGCTAAAATGGTAAGAAGTTGCGGTTCGTTTGCCCCCCTGCGCACTGTTGATTTTGCGGCTTTGAGCTTCTAGAGAGAAAGGCGGGAGCGGGAGGGGGAAAAGAGAGCCTTGGAGTGGAGGATAAAGAAGTTTGATAGGGGAGGGGGTCGTGGTGGGGAATATAAATAATGTTGTTAAATTACATTTTACTGCAGTAACATATCGCACCCCTCTGTTTATGATCCACACGCTGATTTGGATCTGAAAGTCTTCACGTAGGCGGCGGTTCCCGTTAGTTTCTCACTCTAGAAATGCTTCTACTTTTATGATGAACAGCCTCCAGGCTGCAGACAAAAACAAAGCGGACAGATGGGCTTAAACCCACTTGTTATTGTTGTTATCGGTGAGGGATTGTTTCTCATGGACTTTGGGGTTGTGTTGTTTTTGTGTGCAGGCTGTAGGGGGTAGAAAACGTCTCTGTTTGGGATGATAACATGGTCAGCATCCTTTCATTGTTTGTTTATAGGATTTTAGGGACCTAAACAGAGTCCTCAACTGTCCCACAGCTTTTAAAGTCCATTTGTTGTAATGCTTTTTCAGGGCTTTCATTATTGTTAAAAAATATAGTGTTTGAGTTATCTGACCATATAAAGTCTCATAGTCAATTTGAATTGACAAAGCACTAAACTTACTAAGTACTGAAGTACTTATTTTCATGGTTTTTATCAGATATTTATAACATTTACATATCAGATAGATGCTTTAGATATGCATTCAAAGTATTTTTCATTGTTTTTGCAATCTCTAGGAGTAGAACCCATGGAATTGGCATTGCTCTTTATTATTATTATTATTATTAATAATAATAATAATAACAATAACCATAATAACAGTTTAGCATCAGCAAAAATGAAAATAAAAGCAATAAATATGAATCAAATTAAGTAATAAATAAAATAATAAGAAAAAGCCAGTGATAAAAATAATAACAGTTTATACAATAGAATTAAACTGAATAAATTATAATTAAAGCTAATAAAGTTAACCTCAAAGAGCTCCCATCTAATCTGATCGCATGTGGCCACTGTACTAGTACTCCACTTTTTTTTTTATTTCAGAGAAAAACTATTTTGTTTCCTCATGTGTAGCCCACCCTCTCTAATATCTGCTTGTGCCACTGAACAGGCTTTTAAAGCCGCTTTGGAAAACATTTCTTCCAGTACTAAGGGGCAGCACAGTGCACAGACTGTGGACTCGGCAGGGTCCGGGCAGTGGGTGAGCAGACCTCCTACCATTGTTTTTGAGTGCGGACTGCATGACTCATCCAGCTGAGTATTTCTCTGAACGCACTGTACAGGAAACGGCCCAGGAAATACAGACAGACTGATCCACCAGTTACTCTTTCAGGCGCATAAAACTGCAGACGTAGTCTGGATGTGCTGCAATAGTGAAAAAGCTCAGTAGAGAGCTCGTCAAGAGAGCTGGATACACTTGTTGGACCTATTTAGCATGGCTTTGGATGAATTCACATAGTAATGCAAGGACAGGTCCATGATGCCACAGTGCAGCCTGACTTTTTCCAGACTTCTGGAATCTTTTTGGAAAAAGTCTGGTGACATCGTTAGTGAAACAGCAATATTTCACGAATGCCTTTAGGTGCATTTTTTTAGTGTGCATGAAGGCAACAGTTTATTAAACATCTAAACATCTGTATTTATTTAAAGTCTTCCCACAGTCTCTTGAGTATGCACTGCAAAAATAAGTAAATAACCACATTTTTTAAAATGAAACCATCTTAATGTCTATGAAATAGCATAAAAAGGTTAACAATAGTTTTTCAGTCTTCATATGTCTTAAATATAAGTATTTTTAACATTTTTTTATTAAGATTGGTCATTTTCTTGTTTATTTGCACTCTAAGGAGACTTGTCTTTAAAGGGGATCTATTATGCTCCTTTTTACAAGATGTAAAATACGTCTCTGATGTCCCCAGAGTGTGTATGTGAAGTTTTAGCTCAAAACACCCCACAGATCATTTTTTATAGCTTGTTAAAATGGCCACTTTTAGGGTATGAGCCAAAACACACCGTTTTTGTGTGTGTCCCTTTAAATGCAAATGAGCGAGCTGGTGCTCCCGACCCCCTTTCAGAAGAGGGCAGAGCTTCAAGAGCTCAAGGTTAGCATACAAATAAACGTTCTACTATTAGTACAAGCCTGTAATCTTTACAGAAAACGTACTCTGTTTAAAAGTCAGTCATCTGATTGTACTGTGCATGATAAATTATCATTTATGAATTACACAGACGAGGAGCATGGTGCGGTAAAAATAACAACAGCTGGTCTCATTGTGCCTTAGCTACTATCGCAAACTATATAAGTCCCACAAGTGGTCGAATTCACATTGCTTTCATATGCAATTTTGAACTACCACATTCCTATTTAAGATCGTTCTGGTAGCACGTGAAGGCAGCACCAGTGAAAACAGGCATAGCTTTAGCAACATTAGCCTTTACAGAGTGCCAAGAAGCTCTTTCAGAAAGGCAATTTGGAAAACAAACACGTGATACTTACTTTGTCTGGAGCTGACGTTCACACACGAAGCACTGGTATTGATCACTAAACATATAGGGGACCTTACCGATTTTTTCCGGGATATTTCCTTCGAAAATGAAATTTAACCAGTGTCCTCAGCAGCTCAGATGGAGGGAGTTTATGGAGACTCCTATGTTCGTTGGTGCATCCCAAAACACAACATTTGTAATGCCTCTTTAGCGCTGACATTGTATATCTCCAGCAGCTAACGCTACATCAAGAAAACAGTAATGTTGCACTGCTGCTTGTCACTCAGGGCAGTGTCTATGCTAATAGGGCAGAGAGCGTCACAAATGGGCAGGACTTTTTCCCTATATGGTGATGTATACATAGGGAGAAATCTGGAACTGCTCATTTGGAGAGACTGTTTATAATTTATTGGGATTATAAAAAAATGAGTGGGTGGATTTGTACCATTATAGGCTGGTTGTTTTCACACACTGCGGCCACACAACTGTTCAAACACCTTATAAAAGTGATTTTTGCATAATATATAAAATAGGTCTCCTTTAAAGCTGGCATTTTCTAAATGTTATTTCTTTTTATTTAACCTCATCATTTTTTAATTAAATCTTTTCAATCAAATGCAAGTTCACATTTAGATCTGCTGTCATCCTAATCCCTGACCCCCTTTTTTCTTTTCAATAATCTATTTCACTCATGTACGTCACAGTGCAGAAGAAAAGATCTTCCACTACTTCCATTTCATCGTGACTTTAATGGCGGTTATAGACAAATTTATTTTGGGTATGAGAGACTGTGCTGGATTTCGTATATCACAGCTCTACTTTAGTATTATTGACTAAAGTAGGCAGAATGTATCGATATTCTCTTTCGGACAGTTTAATATGAACGTTAAGCTGTGCACAGCCTGAAAGGCTCCACTCACCCAGACACTTAATGTTGGTCATCCCATTATACTGTTTGCATTTGTGTGTTTGACTGAGAAAGCCTATGTGTGTGTCTGTATATGTTTACAGTCAGACTAAGTTTGGTTCTTAAACCCCAAGGCTGGATGGAGAAATCCTTCACTGTTAAGAATCTGTAAAAGCTCTTAGGCTGATTTTTAAAACGCCATGCCAGCTCTGATCTCATTTCTCTTCTCTCCCCCTCTTTCTGTCTCCTTCCTCCAAATTAGTTATCATTTTCTCTCCTCCACTCACCCCCTGTCAGTCTTTTGATACTAAAATTTAAAGCCAGAGTTCCTGTTTATGCCTGACTGAGACATGTTGTTCCCCAGTTTTACGCCATGACATTCCAAATGGAGTAACGTTGATTGTTTTCTCCCTCTGCAGAGCTCTGTGCAGGACTGGGGAGAGGAGGTTGAGGAAGGAGCCATATACAACGTGACGCTGAAGAGGGTCCAAATCCAGCAGGCGGCTAACAAAGGCGCAAGATGGCTGGGGGTGAGAGGAGGCCTTTGATCTGAATGCACTTCCACTCTTTATTTAAAGAAACACTTCGGCTGCCCATGCTGGGCTGGCCAGACAGTAGGGCATATTAAGGGTGACCTTGTAAAGCTTTTTATGGTTTACGGACGTATTTAGTTGTGGGGTTCCTATAGTGTTCTGGTCATTAGTCTTCATGGATGGTCGCAAGAAAACACATAAAACTTTCTATAGAGTTGTTTGTTTGCTAAAAGTAAAAGCCAAAAATGAAAGTTCTGTCACCATTTATTCACATTAATGTCATTCCAAACCTGTATGACTTACTTTCTTATACACAAAAGATGATTTTTTTTTTTAAATGTCTCAGTCGTGTTGTTTTGAACCCCATTGGCTTTTATTATATGGACAAAAACACTCTTCAAATTACCTTCTTTATGTTTTCCTTAATGTTATCGCTACTTATGTGTTTTAGTTACAGGAAAACATTCAACTCTGTTCTCTGTTGCACATTTTGAACCAAAAATTTGCTGCATGAATTTCAAGGTTTATACAACATTGTTATTTTATGAAGGCATGCTGTTATGGCTCCTTTCCGAATTACAGTGGTGAATATGGTATAATCTGTTGCTTTAACCTTGAATAACGTTTTCCATATTGTCAACACCCTTCTGAATCAACATCAAAAAAACAAAGCACTTATGAGCTGATTTGATTTCCATAGGGCTTTAGTTTGTTGTACCACAGCTGTTTCTACACTAAATGGGTGTCGAGTGAAAACACAGTTAATTTAATGTAGAATCATTTCATAAGTGTGACATTCATGATTTCAAAAGCAAGTTCGCTTTACAGTAATCATGCTACAAAAATGTAAACAGAAATTTGTTTGACATCGCAATTAAAAGAAAGCCACATGTCTTACTTTTTGACACCAGTTAGAGCCCTGTTTCAGAGAGGTCATGGTGCTTAATGTTTGACCTAGTTTTAGGGACCTCAACTCAATCATTTTATTTTTTCGTCAAGAAGATTTAGTATTCTTGCTGTTTCAGTGACATTCACCTTTTTGTGGCCTACTTTTAAATCACTTTTTTTTGTGTGAACCATATTTTTTTCAACTAATGAAGCATTTTTAAGAAGTCTGCCGACTTTCCAGCGCTTCTCAGAGAGGGAGGAGGAGGGTTGCTCTGATTAAAAGCAGATTGTAGAGTTTCCTGTTGTAGCGTGCTTGCACTACCAAGGTCTTGTTCTTTTTCTTCCCCTGTTTATTTCTGCTTTTCTCTCTGTTTCTCTACATATTACTTGAGTGCATGCTTTAGAATTGACTTCAAAGTATTTTTCTCTCCTTCTCCTTTGCTCTCTCAGGCAGAGGGTGACCGCTTGCCCCCAGGTCACACAGTCAGCCAGTTGGAGACGTGTAAGATCAGAAGTATCCGGGCGGGGACACTGGAACGTTTGGTAGAGACACTCCTCACAGCGTTCGGTGATAATGACCTGACCTACACCAGCATCTTCCTCTCCACATACAGGGCCTTTGCTACTACACAGAATGTACTGGAGTTGCTGCTGGACAGGTGTGTACTCTTGTGTGCTTGTTTTTGATTGCACACATCATAAATGTCAGGTGAAACCTGCGTGCATTCTGATGGGCTGTTTTGAATGTTCATGTTTGCATGTATGCTTAGTGAAGAGAGGTCGCATTTTGTGGTCACACAGCTAAGCAAGTACAAATGCCCATCTGGTATTCAAGGTATTAATGTAAACACAGTCGGTTAAGTTGCGTTAATGTAAACAGGTTAAACAAAAAATTGGATGTGTGTCAAAATATTAGATCTACAGGGAACACACAGTACCAGGTAATTTTTTAAAGTCTGATTTCCAGGCCTGGAAAATTAATGGAAATTAATAAAAGGTCATGGAAGTGTCTATGGTCAATATCATTTTTTTCTAGTTATGTTCACTTTAGTATTTCTTTCACTAGATATTGCTTTTTGTAAAGGCAATCTTTAGAAACTGCCTTTTAAAAATCATGGTAATTTATTTATCTGAAAATGTGGGAACCCTGGATCTGTGCAATATACTTCCCAGTTTAAATGCATCAAAGTATTATTTTATTACAAAAAATTATGATGTTTTATGTTTTATATTGTTTGTTTTTCATTATTATTTTGTTGTTTTAAAATAAAAAATAGATTGTGTTTTGGATATTTAAAAATCTTTACTAATTAAAAGTGGACTACATAGGAAAGATTAAGTCATAAAAAAAATAGTAATTAAAAATAATATGACCACTTTATAACTTTTTTTTGGGTCCTTGTTCAGTGGTTACTGCCTTTACCATTTGTCAGAATGCTCACAGGTTGGTTTCTCTCTTCGTTCTCAGGTATGGTAGTTTTGAGGATTGTGAGGGGGAGCGTAACCAGTGTCGGACTGGAGAGAGCAGAGTTGCTGTGAGAACGTGAGTTCCCTCATCGTGGTTATCTGCAGTGACTTCCGAGCAGCTCTCGTGTTTGTTGTTTCATTTCCATGGAAGCTTAAAAATAGAGGTCAAACACTGTGATATTGTGTGCATGCATTCGTGTGTGTGAGTTTAGAAGCAATTAGAAATAAAAGGGATCTGATGAATGATGGTGCTTGGTTGCTGCATGAATCACAGCATTGCAGCTGAATTATACTATGAGAGATTCCCTCACTAGTTTGCGCCATCTGGTTTTCTCTGGTTTATACAAACATCTATGTGTTATTATTATTTTTTTCAGTGCTTTGGCCTCTATTCTAAGAGGCTGGTTGGATCAGTGTCCAGAGGACTTCCAGGAACCTCCATCATATCCGAGCTTGCATCGTGTGCTGGGTTTCCTGCGGAAGGCCATGCCAGGCTCAGAGCCAATGCGCCGGGCTCAAAGTCTGCTAGAACAATTGCGTGTCCAGGCCAGCCTAGAGAATGAGACTGAAGGTAAGTCATATCCGGTTACTGTTAATAATTTTATACATCCTATCTAACTTCTTGCCTATTCATGTTTGTTCTGTCTTCCTGTGCTTACAAAAACATCTGCTGTCCGTTTGTTGCAGGAGGCTTTCAGTACACCAACCCTTTCTGCATTGGGGAAGATGAGGAAGTGGAAATCGATTTGCAGGAGGACTTCTTCTCCTTCAAGGTTGACCTTGGAGCAGAGCAGCTGACTTATATGGATGCGGTGAGAGAGAGAAACCTAGATTAAATCAGTACTAAGGGAACATGAAATATTATTTTGTACTTTCTTTGGCTCAAGCTATGAAATATTTCCTTCTTTCCATAGCTGGAAATATTTCCTTCTTTCCACAGCTGTTGTTTAAGAAGGTGGTTCCTCATCACTGTTTGGGTGCTATCTGGTCTCAGCGTGATAAAAAGGACGGCAAACAGAGCGCACCCACCATCCGCGCCACCATCACTCAGTTTAATGCAGTAACAGCGTGCGTGGTCAGCACCATCCTCCGTCAGCGGCAGATACGCCCGCATTTGCGTGCTCGCATCATCCAGCGCTGGATCGACGTTGCACAGGTGCATAACCCAACACACACACATTTGCACGGTCACACCTCCCAGTATGACTTATGTTTTGCTCACGTTTAAACCTGTACATCTCAGACTCATTCGAGCTAGATCAATCTGCAGCGCTTTAGTGTTGTGTGATTTTTCTAGCAATACTTTAGATAAAGATAAAGCCTGACGTTGATCTGGAATATAGTTTTTCAAAAGGCATTTACTGGTCTTGGTGCATTTGGGTAAAGACTGACACCTAATCTATTTCTTTGTTAGACATAACTGTTTTAGATGAGATCTAGATAAACCAAAGTAGACATAATAATGACTTTCAACCTCCCAAAGGATTTCTGATAAAGTCTCATTAGGACCATTTGTAAATGAGAATGTATAAATATGGATTAACATGTTCTCAGGAGTGTCGCATCCGTAAGAACTTCTCATCTCTGAGAGCCATAGTATCAGCGCTGCAGTCCAACCCCATCTACAGACTGAAGAGAGTGTGGGCCTCCGTTTCCAAGTAAGTTCTGTCAATAAACAAGCCTGTCAGTCATTTCTTGATTTCTAAAAAGTATATAGAATGGTGAAAATATTCAAATCCTTTCAATAACATTGGTTCTGTTTACCTGTTATTTTATGATTCCTAATGAAGTCTCTAAATGAATGCCATTCAAAAGTTTGGGATCACTATTATTTATTTATTTATTTGAAATGTACACTTTTATTCAGCAAGGATGCATTCCACTGATCAAAAATGACAGGAAAAACATTTAAAATATTACAAAATATTTTTATTTTAAATAAATGCTGTTCCACAAGTTTTATGTTCTATCAAAGCACACTAAAAAAGACGCTGCATCACAGTTTCCACACTTCATTAAGCTGCACAATCATTTTCAAGTGATAATAATAAGAAATGTTATTGAGTACCAAATCAGCATATTAAAATGATTTCTGAAGGATCATGTGACACTGGAGTAATAGCTGCTAAAAAAAAACAGCTTTGCCATCACAGGAATAAACTACATTTGAATATATCCATATGAATATTTATTAAAATAGGAAAGAGTTATTCTAACATTGTAATAATCTTTCACAATATTACTGTTGTCACTGTATTTTTGTCAAATAAATGTTACCTTTGACAAACATAAAAGTCAAAACTTTTGAATGGTTGTGTATTCTGTAATGATTTTTAATATGATATCAAGAATGACATGCTCTGAGATTGTTTTTGTTTCACTCTGCAACTTTAGAGATAGCATGCAGATGTTTGAAGAGCTTTCCGATATTTTCTCTGACCAGAACAATTACCTTACAAGCAGAGAACTGCTAATGAGGGTGAGCTCATGCACACGTCTCTCTTTTTCAGTTCTGTTGTGTTTTCTTTGCACAGAGGCATTTAAATTAGCTTTCACTAATAACTAGGCCCAAGTAAAATCAAAAATTATAATAAATAAATTAAATAAAAATAAATTAAATCTTTTGCCTGTTGTGTTTGTATTTTGAAAATGTGTTTATTACATTTTAGGCTAATTTGATTATGCTTTCAGGTACAATAAGTGTGTAGTAGTTTCAACTCCACAGTTAGTTTTCCAACAGATAATGGAGACAATTCTGCCAATTCCTCCTGTGCCTGCGAAAAACTAATGATATCTCTGTGATCTTCACAGGAGGGCACCTCAAAATTTGCCAGTCTGGACAGCTGTGCCAAAGATCACCAGAAAAGATCCCACAAGAGACTGCAGTTACAGAAAGAGATGGTGAGTTTGTAAAAAAACAAAACAACAACACAAAAAAAACTAGTGTCAGTATATACTGATAACAGAACAAGAGTTAAATATTGTGTTTAAAACATGTCATGTTAGCTTAAAGCTAACAAAAATATATCTAACCTTTTGTCTCCAGGGTGCCATGCAGGTTCAGGTACAATAAGTGTGTAGTAGTTTCAACTCCACAGTTAGTTTTCCAACAGATAATGGAGACAATTCTGCCAATTCCTCCTGTGCCTGCGAAAAACTAATGATATCTCTGTGATCTTCACAGGAGGGCACCTCAAAATTTGCCAGTCTGGACAGCTGTGCCAAAGATCACCAGAAAAGATCCCACAAGAGACTGCAGTTACAGAAAGAGATGGTGAGTTTGTAAAAAAACAAAACAGCAACACAAAAAAAACTAGTGTCAGTATATACTGATAACAGAACAAGAGTTAAATATTGTGTTTAAAACGTGTCATGTTAGCTTAAATCTAACAAAAATATATCTAACCTTTTGTCTCCAGGGTGCCATGCAGGGGACGATTCCATACCTGGGTACATTTCTCACAGATTTGACCATGCTTGATACAGCACTGCCTGACCAAGTGGAGGTAAGTCAAGCTGCACATCCAAACACACATTTCCAGACAAAACGAAAGCCTCATAAAGAATTATCTCTGTTATTACTAACCTAACATTCCCAGACCGTGGAGGTTTTCATTACCAAGGTTTATTTGACCTTCTTTTGGATTCCCAAGAACTTTAATCAAAACTTTCATGAGTAAAATGATGAGGAGAATCTGGGCTAAAGTCTATTTCTGTGCTTCACAGGGAGGACTGATCAATTTCGAAAAGCGGCGCAGAGTAAGTACAACATTCCTTATTATTTGGTTTTTATTATAGTCAAAACATCTGTTGAATCTCTTATTCATTACTATAGGCATTCAGATCTGTGGGAATGTTGAATAAAATCTCTCTTTGCAGGAGTTTGAAGTGATCGCTCAGATCAAGCTCCTGCAGTCTGCGTGCAATAGTTACTGTCTGACCCCTGATCCCGCATTTCTGCGCTGGTTTAAAAGTCAGCCGCAGTACTCAGAGGAGGAGAGGTACACACATTTTTCCCTTTACATGCCTTTTTTCATCTGAATATTGTGTAAGTCTCAAAGATAATATTTCTTGCAGCTATGCGCTGTCTTGTGAAGTTGAAGGATTGGGAGACAACAGCCCAACGTCACCGAAACCCCGCAAGAGTATGGTGAAGAGATTAAGCCTGTGAGTGACCTAAAACCAAAATCTTGACGCCTAAATTTATCATATTTTATTCTTAGGACCCCATTAAATCAAAATTACAGATCTGTGACTCAATAGTCCATGTCTGTGAACTTTGACGTAATTTATGCTAATAAAAGTTAAATTAAAATTAAGTACATAAATGTGTTTAAAAATTTACATTTTGCCATCACGGGAATAAAATATTAAAATATAGTTATTTAAAAATATATGAAAATAGAAAACAGAAAATGTAAATAATATTTCACAATTTTACAGTTTTTACTGCATTTTTAGAGCACAATCGTACCGACCCCAAACTTTTGAATTATATTGCATATTCAAAGAGGATGACAAATTCTAATAATTTATTTAATGTCTGTTTTTGTCCTTCCAACCTCACTAGACTCTTCTTAGGAATAGACGCCACGAACACAAGCTCTCCTGTAAGAGAGAGTCCTCGATCGCCTCCTACTGGCAGCTCTGGGGAGAGCATGGACTCTGTCAGTGTGTCTTCCAGTGACTCAAGTCCTTCAGAGAGTGAAGGCATGACACCCACACATTCTATAGACACTCATCTGAAGAAGGTACAAACATCTTAATTCATGACCAAATTATTGATATACTATTGTATTAAAATAATGTATTAAATACACATCTGTTTGGTTACCGTAGCTGTCCGACTCTTCCTCCTGCACCTCATTGCACTCCATGGACACCTCCTCTTCTACAGCCAGCGCTTCCATATCTCTGGCCTCCCCGACCCTTCCCGGGCCCCCCTGCATGTACCGCCACTCGATCTCGTTGACGCCCATGTCCCCCACATCACCTGGATTTCCTCCTGCCTATAACACACAAGCTCAGGATGCGTGCATTGTCCGAGTAAGCCTTGAACAGGGAAACGGAAACCTCTACAAAAGTATCATGGTTAGTGAGGAATTCAATATTATTAATCTACTTTTATCAGTGTGCACAATCTATTCTTGCATATCCATACAAGTATATTGGACCATTGTTAATACAGTATATTGGTCAAATATTATGATTAGTTACTGATAGACTACCTGCCAGGGTTATTAGTAAACTAAAACCATAAAAAAAATTCTCTTTACTTGAAATAATATAAACGTTAGCTGAAATAAATTTTATTTCACCAAGTTGCCATCATTTCTCATTTCTCACGAAAACTGAAATAAAAATTAATATATATGACAAACTACAAAAAAAGGACAAAACACACAACAAAATGACTAAAACTTTAACTAAAATTAAAATGGAAAATAAAATAAATTCTGATTAAAAAAAAAACTATAACAGTATCTCAGTGATACCAAAATAATACATCCAAACCCACTTTTCAGTTTAAGAGTTGTCTTATATTAAATGTTATTTAAAAATGCTAATTATTGTTGTTATTTAGTGTAACTAATATGTGTTTCAAATCAGGCAGACATGCCTGTAAAAATAATTAATACATTTGATTTAAAAACTGTGGTGTGGGGACTGGTCAAATATCATGAGATAAATTGTGATTTATTTTATTCTATTGACAGCCACAGATTTTACCAGAAAGAAATATTATAAAAGCAATATATATTGCTTATAATTTTGTGGTATAGTGTTCATCTCATTCATAAGGTGTTCATCTCTCCTTCCTTGCAATGTACATAAGTTCAGAGTGCTGTAGAAATTATTTAAATTCAATACTTAATAAAAAATCATCACCATTATTATTATTGAATTTTAAAATGTTTCTCATCAGGTTTATACATCCAACATGTTATTAAAATATGTTATATAATATATTAAATAAATAGAAATGTTATAAATAATTATATAAATATTTCCAGATTCCATTTTAGTGATTTAATTTGGCTTTAGTACAATGACAATATAACAGCCAATTATTTAAATATTTATTTTTATTGTTCTCAAACAGTATAAAAATGTGCAGAAGAACAGTATACAAAATTTTTCAGAGGATCATCATATTTAGAGGTTTTTGGAAAAAGCTTTAAAATCCCTGTTCTAATAGCACTAAATTAAGAGAGAGAAGACTTTCTGATGTAAAATGCATCATTGTTTCTCCACGCAGCTGACCAGTCAGGACAAAACTCCAGCTGTGATCTCTCGAGCCATGGCCAAACACAACCTGGAGGGTGAGCAGGCCGCTGACTACGAGCTGGTGCAGGTCATCTCTGAGGAGAGAGGTACGACATTAAAACTTGTGTATCTGGCACATTATGAAATGTTGTTTAGGTTTGTCATGGTGGAATGCCATCGTCACATTCGCAATCTTTTTTCCCTCTTTCTCCAGAATTGGTCATCCCCGACAACGCCAACGTGTTTTACGCCATGAGCACATCTGCGAACTTTGACTTCCTATTGCGTCTGCGTGGTTCTGAGGGGAGGCCGGTTCAGCTGCGCAGTCGTTGCAGCTCCACACTACCGCGCACACAGCAACGCTCCAGTCTGTCCCTCAGGCTCAGCAAGGTCACACTGTGACCTCTGACCTTTTTTTGGACCAGAACAGGCTTTGTAAAAAGACACGACTTCCTCAGAGAGAAAGAGGGGAATGAAAGAAGCTGTGGGAAGAGAAGTTAAACGACAACCACGTTGCCTTTATCAGTGGTAATGATGTAACTCTTGCGTCAGTATTGAAGATGAACTGCAGTAGCTGTGATGCCGTCATCACCGTGTAAGAACATGTAAAAAGAGCTGTGAAATATGAGTGTGTGATTGTAAAGTGAGCATTAAAACAAGTCAGTCATTTCCATCAACCAGCACAATAATTCGCTCTCATTGTACCCCCGTCACCCTAGAAGATGTTCTCCAGAGCATTTTAGACATGTTACTTCTGTGCACCTGGTGAATATCACAAAAACTTGTTTTACACTAAAACAAATAGTTTTACACTGAGGCATTTTAACACCAAATAGTTTCAATAGCTTCTAAAGGCTTATGGAATTTTTGCCTTAATCCTGTTCTTTCTCTACATAATTCCCATAAATTTGTTAATCTGGTATGTAATAATCATTAGTTGGCCCTGACTCCTGGTAATCTGTCAACGGATGTACTATAGAATGTGCCAAACATGCCCCTTTTTTTGCCTTTTGTTCTCTCGCACTAATTAAGAAACTTATGTTTGTTACATTGAACACTTAAGACTTTGATGACACTAACAGTTTTTCAACAAGGTAAAAATGTAGTGTTTTAACAGTAGTGGGGGCTGCAGTGTTTGTATTTTGATTAATTTGTCTTAATTCAAATTTATTCAGCACTTGTGTATTTTCTCCTTTCTTTATTTTGAATATTTCTTCACTACCAAAGAATTGTACAGAGAGTCAGTGAATATATTATTATCGTTATGATGTTTTGTAAGTTGAATATTACTTTTCATTAATTAAATGGAGACTCTCTGAAAGTACTGTGGATGTTGACTGAAATTGACTTTGCTTGCATCACACCTAAAATACCATAAGAAGAAAATGACGTATGATTCATTCATTCAAATGGTTTTGTTTTATAATTCTTCTCTTGTCTGTTTTCTGTTTCAGTGTTATTGCTAACTAAAACCAAAACTATTACCAATTGGATAACAGTAAATATTGAAATTAACATTGATTAATAAATACTTTAGAAGTATTTTTTATTATTAGTCACATTAACTAATATACAGTAGTTAATGTTAATAAATGGAACCTTATTGTGTTACCAAAAATAGTTTTTGGTATTTGAAATAAAGTAAATATAAATATTAGATGAGAAAACTTCATTCAAAATTCAACAAAAATGAGAAATGTTGCCTAGACACTAAGTTGAAGTATTCAAATTAAAACTAAAATGAAATTAAAGCTATATTGAAATAAATAAATAGTACAAAAAAAAAAAAAGACAAAAGTTAATCTGAAAATTACTGAAATTTTAAAATGAAAACTGGAAATAGAAAAAAGTTCATTTCAAAATACTAATAAAATCTACAACAGTACATAATTAAGTTAATACTAAAATAACATTTCACACACAGATTACTCAAGTCAGTACTCACGGTGGATGCTTTGACAAATGTACACGTCACCACTGCATTACTCGTCACCATTATCTCATGATTAGCAGAAGTGTAGAGGCAGCTTTTACAACTGGTTTCAAATCTTCATGAGATTCCATATCTTATCTTGTTTGGTTGTCAGTCATCAGAGTTATAAACACCATTGACATGGAGGGACAGGCCTGGATTATGGACCAAGTGCCTCCTCAGAGGCCTGTCAGAGCCTTAAAAAACTCATTCTGTGCAGACCATTGTGGTCACATCCAATATCATACTGCTTCTTTCACCTCATGAACTCAAACACAGATTACTCAAGTCAGTACTCACGGTGGATGCTTTGACAAATGTACACGTCACCACTGCATTACTCGTCACCATTATCTCATGATTAGCAGAAGTGTAGAGGCAGCTTTTACAACTGGTTTCAAATCTTCATGAGATTCCATATCTTATCTTGTTTGGTTGTCAGTCATCAGAGTTATAAACACCATTGACATGGAGGGACAGGCCTGGATTATGGACCAAGTGCCTCAGAGGCCTGTCAGAGCCTTAAAAAACTCATTCTGTGCAGCGTGAGATCTCCATAGATGTTAGGTCACATCCAATATCATACTGCTTCTTTCACCTCAGATGAACTCAAAAAGGTTCATGATAATGATAACTGGTAAACTGCCAGAATCTTTATCAGCACCCTGATAAATCTGGTATAAAGGTCCAAAATATTGTGAGAATAAATAGCTCATTAACAGGATACGCATAATATGATGTTATAGTATATTAGATTATATTGTGTTCTCTTTTAAGACAATTATTTACTAGCCTAGAGGTGTTTTACAGTAATAATTAAAAGTATTTAATAAAAAATAAATGAAAAAATAAAAGAATATGCTTTATATCAACAAAAATGTGATCATTAAGATGAGGAAACTTTCTAAGGCTCTAAGGAAATAATGATATAAACTAAAAAAAAGGCAAACATTTAAAAGTAGTTACCAATAATTGAGGGTAGTTTCATAATAAGAGGTTTCAGAAAGGCTGATTGGTTTGTTTCGAACTCCGCCTAACTTTGCACTTTTATTGCATCAAGTTGACACGGGCTCTTGACTAGACAGCATTAGAGATTCACACTTCTACTGAACGCGGGTCAGCGAAGGACAACGGATCAATAACAGGTCAGTTCATGTGACAGCTGTCTGAGAGAATGGGAAAATGACTATAGTGTGCGGGATGGCAGATAACAATCACTTTTTCCTCGGTGAATTAATGTGATGTCAGTATTCTTATTATTCTCAAAGAGCGCGAGCCTACGATTGCTTTTTGTATACAGTTGTCTACGTAATTTTTTTTAAGCGCACTCAAAAAAGCCGCGCCTCAGAAACAAAAAAGCTTTCAATATTGTAAACTACAGTATGAGAATAAGTCCATTGTAAAATTATAGGCTACTGTTAAAGTTAGTTGTCTATCTGTCAGATTCCACACGGAATGGCGCAACAATAAAGTTCTTCAGGAAGTGGGTGAAAGTTTACGCCCTTTCCTCTATTCAACGCTCTTGATTTGTCATTACGAGAAATAACGATGACGACCATACTATACTAACGCCCACTTCTTTGAAGTGTAGCAAAGATATGATTAATTTGAGAGCGAAAGTTGATTTCCCCTAAGTTATCCGAACATTATAAGTGTCACAAAATAGATTTTTAAAGTAATGCTCCTTGTTTGCCAGTCTAAAGGGAGGTTGAGAGGACACGCCTTTACCTTTCCTTCATTTCTCATTACTAGATTACAATATTTATATTACTACATAACGTGTAAAAGTGATCTTCCTAGGCTTAAAGATAGACGTTTTATTATTATAAATATAGCCTATTTATTATGACATCATATTAGTTATTAATTATATCATTAGTTATTTCACAATATTAATTTATGATATATTATATTATATTATATTATATTATATTATATTATTATACTTAATAAACTGTTGTTCTTTTTTACTACATGTTCATTCTTGGTCCTGAAGCAACATCAACTGACCAATTAGATTGTAGGGTTAGGACTGGAGTTAAAGGAATAGTTTTCTATAGTATTTGATTTATTTCTGACCAGGCTGCATGTTCGTTTTAAAGGTAGGTATAGTTCACCAAAAAATGTAAAGTCTGCCATCATTTGCTTACCCTCACGCTGTTCCAAACCTGTATGAGTTTCTTTCTTCTTTTGAGCACAAAAGAAGATATTTTGAAGAATGTTGGTAACCAAACATTGACGGTAGCCATTGATTTCTATAATATAGATAAAAGGAAGTCAATGGCTACCATCAACTGTTTCGTTACCACCATAAGAAAGAAATTCATACAGGTTTGGGACAACATGAGGGTGAAGAAATGATAACAGAATTCTCATTGTTTGGTGTATTATCCCCTGTGTTTGTGTTTATGAGATGGATCTAGACTGGCTGTGATTACCTGAGAAGTAAATGGTTCCGTTTTTCTGATTAATATCGCAACATCTTCCACAGAATGGCAGATAACGGGAAGACAGCAGAGAAGGACACAGAGGCATCACAGGCTACTCAGGAACAGCAGGTTAGTCACACGCTTCATGACTCACCTACAGACAGTTTCACAACAGAAGTCACTATGAAACACTGAATGTTTAAGTCACAATGAAACCATTCTTGCATAAAGTGACATTTAATTTAGCGCATCAATCTGTGTAAAAAGGGTTTTACGAACACTTCAGGAATTCGTTCTGCTTTGTTTCATAAATGAAGTTCATTCTACATTAAAACTGTGAATAAACAGCAACAAACTTTAACATTTGTGTTTCAGAGTGTGGTATCTCGAGTGAGCAACCTGCCGCTGGTGAGTTCAGCTTGTGGTGCGGTGTATAATGCCTACAGCTCTACTAAAGACAGCGTGCCGCTCCTGAAAGGAGTAGTGGAGGTTGCAGAGAGCGGGGTGCGCACGCTGGGCGCTGCTGCTTCAACAGGTTCCAAACCCATACTAGACCGACTGGAACCTCAGAGTAAGGATCTCAGTCTTAGATGTAGTTTGTATCTTTTACGCCTTGTCTTTTATTTGTGGTGTTGTTCCTACTGGTTTTCATATAACGACAGTTGTTTTTGTGTTCTTTCTATTGTGTAGTTGCAGTGGTAAATGAATATGCCATTAAAGGGCTGGAGAAGGTAGAAGAAAACCTTCCAATTTTACATCAACCAGCAGACAAGGTAAAGTCTAGACTGACTTGTTCTGCGTGCAACTTGTAGCACCTTAATTGCTATATGAATCAGCGTTGTATCTCCATTGCAGCTGGTATCCGACACAGTGGGCATGGTGTACCAGTCAGTAACAGGAGCAAAGGATGCTGTGGTGGGGGCTGTGCTGGGTGGTGTGGAAAAGACACGTATGGCTGTGGCTGGTGGCATAAACACTGTCATGGCGACCCGTGTAGGCCAGATGGTCAGTAATGGTGTAGATAAGGCCCTCACCCAA